ACTCATGCATACATGAAAGTTAGAAGCCTTTTAAGGTCTAATTTAAGGCTTATAAATGATGCTCCTGCTCATTCACACCACCGCACATTTAAACTGTGCTAACTGCACTGACTAATTTAACAGCCCCAAAGTGAACTTTTCATATTCAGATGTTTTATTCAGGTACTATAATTCATTCAATGTATGAATGACTAACAACACGTTTGCTCTATATACACTCTGAATAACCAGGCACACACATATACAGGATTTGGAGTGAATTACAGGCTTAAAGGAATGAAGAGTTTCACTGTGGTGTCCTTCACATGTGCCTTAAAGTATATGTTGGTACTACTAGGCATCATACAATCTGGCATGCTTCAGAGCTGAGAGTATATAAAGGCCTTTAAGATATCCTTAAAATAAAAATATTTTAAGTTTAATCTGACGTTTACCTTACCATTACTTTTGAATGACTGGTCAAAATTCTACTTTTGCCCTGCATGTACTGGAACGTTTAGAAGGGCTGTACACAGTATTATCATTTTTTTCTTCCTTCTTTTGCACTTGTGCCCATTTGACGTACGTACAGAGTTTCCAGCATTTCTCTCGTTACCTGTGATTTTGATTCTGACCCTGGATAGTTCTGACCACCAATTTCTGCCTAGCCCTCCTGATTGCTGTATGTGTATCTGTGTATCGACCTTTGGACCGGCTTCTTTGACCACCCGTTTTTGTATCCCTCGGACGTTAGTGTTTGCCGGCATTGAACCAGGACTGTTTTTGGATTTGGATTGTCTCTTGGACTGTTGTAGTGTCTGTGTCTCCTGTGCCCTACCAACAGGAAACTAGCTCGCCTGGCCTTATAATAGAGTCCGCCATTCACATTGTTGGTTTTCTACCAGCCTGGTCGTTACAGAAGGAGGTCTGAGAGAGAACGGAGTGATATGCTTGCTGTTGATTTTTTATTCATTTTTTTCACTATATGGGGGGCCCTTCAGAGAGAAGTGCTCATGCAGCTACATGACCAGTTTTTGAGGCTTTTTGCCCCCTTAAGGTTGTATAGGTATAGGTTGCCTTTCTCTGCAAGCCAGACCTTCACTTGCCACCTCAGAAAACAATGAAGTCACCTTATTAGAAATCCAGTTGACTGAAAATTACAACTTGACTGTGGCAGTTTATCTGTCAGGATAATAGAACTGGACCACGGTATCAGTGGATTGGCCCATTGCTTTTTATAGTTATAAGCTCCTGAGAGTGGCTGTGTGTTTGAGTGTTCATGTGTGTGCAAACATGTGTATGGCATGCCTGTGCATTTCTCCTCCAGGGTGGATTGGTATTTATCACGGCTGGTTGGAGAGTGCCCTTCTGTCATATATTGGAGCTACAGTGGTCACTCTCATGAATGAACACACAGGTCTGCTGGTCCTTACAGCAGCTACAGTTTCAGTACATAAGGTCTAACACCACATATACTAGATGGTCTATTTTTACTGATAATTTTTCCTTTGTCTTTTAAGTTGCTGTGACATTTGGTGCCACTGTGTCATCTTGAGTCTTCTGCGCTTCGGAAAAACAGACATAGAAATGTCTTCATCAAATCATAGTTTCACGGTTTTTGGAGCCTTTTCTGTCTACAACAGAAAGTTGCTGTTAATGGATATATGGAGTACAAGTTGTCAGTTCTAGCAGACATTTTGGACAGTTTCTCTAATTTCTCAGTTATGTTGCACCCACAGAAGCAAAGTATGTCGAGGTGACACTCAAAAGCTACCGTAGGTGGCAGATTTTTATGAAATCTGGCTGAGCATTAAGCTGTAGCTCATGGGCAATGTGATGAGTTTTTGTGCAGATATATGAATTTAAATAGTTTAGATTTTTCAAGGTCAGCAACATTTTTTCTTTCTTTAAAGCCAACAAATCTCATAAATAGCCCAAAACCAACTATGAATTGGCTTGAATTTGTTTGTGACCATTTTGTTATGTGGAACAAAGAACCAGTTGCCTTGGGGCTGTATGCTACAACATAGGGAAATAAAAGTGTTGCATTGGTCTTTCAGAACATTTCAGAATATCAGCAAACTTGTTTAAAACAAAGTGAGGAGGCATCTGGTAACATTTTTGTAATTTTCTCATGAACTAAGCTCTTAGCTGAATGGAAGAAAACTGGCATAATTCCCACAGTTGTTTATCACTAAGAGCAGTTTTACGCTCAGTGTTTTCATTTGAATTTCCAAAAAAGTGCAGCCTTGGTGGAACTGTGTAATCTTAGAGTGCTTTCCTGACTCCAGAGGAGAGCTGCACAAGAATTCCTATATGCCTAGACTGTCTGTTTATGCATAAAAGGCAAATAAAAATCTTGACTTGACTTTTAAGGTGGCATATGTGATTGAAAATGTATGTACGCAAATATGTAGTGAGCCTTTTTTGTTTGCCATGATGTGTTTTATTCATCAGTGATTTACAGATGGGTTAATTCAGTTCAGAACCTTTTTTCTTTCTTTCTCTATTATTTCTGTCTTCAGGCCAGTTTTTGGACCATAAGACACATGATGAGAATGAACCAACTGGGCCTGCTAATGAGGACCTTGTGGGATTGAATTCCTTTCAGGATGTGTTTGTCACCATGTGTTTCTGTGAGTGAAGGCAAAAGAAAAGATATTGTGCATGTGCTGCTCAAACTGTCCTCATAAAACACGGACAACACCTCACATGCCCCTTTTGAAATGTGATAAAACAAACTCCACATTTTGTTTACTGGCATGCATGAATTCTTAACTCCCTCCAGGAATGGGGTGTTGAGCATTTACAAGTGTCTGTGTGGATGAGTTCATGCATACCTATTTGTGCATGTGTATTTTACTGGCAAATTGTCTTTAAGCTTGGCCAACTGGATATTGTTACTCAGGGCCAAGTCATTATCCACTGAAATAAAGCAGCTTTGTTTTGCTGTCATGCTCCACAACATTTTATCTAAAATGAGGATGCCTTCCAAAAGTCAACAAAAAGGAGACGAAAGAAAACAGAAAAGGCACATTATCTGAAACAAACTGCCTCTGTGCCTTGACTGATCACAATTAATCAGAACCTCCTTGAGAAAAACATGACATGCTCATTTCAAGCATCACTGGCACATAATAGCTAAAACTTTAATTGGTGTTGTGAGGGATGGACACTGGAATGAGAGGGCATTTCCTTGGATTAGAAGGAGCAGAGCTAAGTGGATGGAGATGGCCGATAAACTACTATTAAAGGTCCTCAGGTTGTGAGTAGAAGAGTCTGTGTCTGATTGTGAGATGCAAGAACAGATTACTCTCCAAAGTTCTGCAGACTTTGTGAGAGTTGATCCAAACTCTTGATAGGCTGTTGAGAATAGTTAAATTACCTTTATTCAGATTTTTTCCCCAAGTTTATTACAAGTGGTGAGAGAAAGCTTATATTCATACTGCACATTGTCTTTAATTCAATTATTAGCTCATGTGTGTCTCTGTCTCCTCACACAGAATTAGACACTTAAATGCTCATCCATTACTTTTTCCAATATGTCTCATGATGCACTAGCAGTTAATTCTAATTCTGTGGTGCTAGGGAAGGTGATTTAATATGCTATCAGGCTGGGCGAAGGGGAATTGAAACCGAAAGCCATGATATCTTTTCAATCTCTTCTTTTTACCCCATTCCCTTTTCTTTTCGCTCTCTCATCACAAAACCATTAAACAACTGGTCTCACATTTAGTTCTCTTCTTTTACCTACCTCCTTTGTCACATTCAGAAAGTAATTTTGTTACTCAATTGTGGTTCAGGTTATATAGTGAAGAAAAAGTATGTTTTGTTCAGTTGGCTTTGAAAGATTCAGTATGTCAAACTTGTGTATCTGCTTCAAATATTTGAGGCTTTGTACTGACCTCTAGGGAAAAGACTGGGGCATTACATTCAACATTTTGGTAATCCTTCACACAATTAAGCTCTGTGAACTGGAAATTATTCCAGATGACTTTTTTTCCATCCTTGCAGTCAAATTTAATTAGGAACATTTGCTCAATAAATAAATAAATAAATAAAAGCTCCCTTAAGCTGCCAAATAATCAACAGTTTCTGGTGTAGTTTTCATCCTGGTAATCCCCAAATCAAATCACAGAGAGAGAATAGCTTTGTGTTTTTTAGTGTGCACCTTTTCTTACAAGTGGTTAGCAGAACAACCAGACATGTTTTCTATGGGAAACTAACTCCCAGACAGATGACTTGTCTTTTCAAAAGATGATTCATCCAGCCATCTGATATTTTTCCACTGCTCACTAGACCACGGCCTCTATTCTTTGGACCACTTCACTCCCACACGTGCATTTTTTAGGTGTAATAAGGGGTCTACACTCTATAGTCCAACCACTTCTCTGCTCCATCATGTTTTTGAAGGTGATACTTTAAAACTGCCTCCTTGTGCCTCACTTTGACATTTACAGCTGACTTACAATCTTGTGTTTTCTGCTTCTGTTGTGTCTTTGCATATCAAGCCAGAAGCACAGCTGCCAATAAGGATGACACCTTTGTCTCAAACCTCCTGGCTCATGCTACTTTTGTCACTGTTCTGCTGGCTGGTTTAGGAGCCTGAATGGGTGGATCTCCCCTTCTTGTGTCAAACTCTTAATCAGAAGTCCTTATAGCTCACTTTGACTGTCCCTTGAAGGCAAAATCTGCCAAAATAAGAAAGACAAGCCATATGCTACTCCTAAAATCTTAGAGATGTTGTAGCATCAAAACATGCTTCCTATACTCGTACACTGTACATTGTGGTGGAGGTGATAGGCTGACTTCAGGATCTCTTAATCATACTCTACTGACATACTGTACGTCTCACATGGAAACACCACCTGACTTCACACAGTGCAGTATTTTGTATGTTACTGTATATTTGTTATACTGAGGCATGTGATACTAGATTCTGTTTTGACATTATTGTTGTTTTGTGCTGTTTCCAGACAGGATCAGCCATGTTTCCAAAGCACTGACCACCACAGCTGGTGTAAAATTTATCGTGTTTAATTCCACTGTAGCATATTGATAATGACACGCAGTACAAAAGCAATTACCAGACATTCCATTACAACTTGGACCCAGTAAACCCCACTGAAATAGCCACATAAACACCAGCACACTAAGTTTTATAGTGAAATTAACAAGACAAATACGGCCTTGGTTTTGGGACACAAAGATAGGACCATTAGGATTATTCACTCCTTTTTTTCTTATTTTTCCTTCTTGAATAAAAATGTTATATTGTTTTGAAGTATTGCAACATTCAACAGAAAATAAAGTAATACAGAAAGTCACACTTTTAAGAGCAAGACCTGTGGCATTTGTATTTCCTCACACAAATGTATTTATTTTCACAAAAGGTGCTTCTAATCACAAGATTTGATTCTAAATTTGAGCACAGATAGATCCCATGGAAACAGTGGCAAGCAGCAGCATGCTAATGCACATGGCCTGACAGTAGATGGAGCCATAACCCTAACCACCACCGTCCTCCTTTTTGTGTCCATTGTCTCCTCAAAGCAACTTACAAGTGACAAACAAATTAAAGACAACATAAGAAGACAGCAAATTAAATATAGTGTTTCCACATTTAATTCTAAAGTGGTTTCATATCAGCAGATATCCTATCACTTCATGAAATGTGAAATATTTGCCAGCAAATACCCACTGTCTGTCACATTTGAGAGGGCCTGGACTTGTGGGTATATTCAAAAAGTATATTCCACATGGATTTGCAACAACACTGTGTTTGAAGTTTTTTATGTTTTTCAGCACCTCAGCTGGACTGCTGCTGGTTCATGTAAACTTGGATTTTGATGATAACTAGAAAAATGAATCAAACCTTTTAGACAGCTAATGAGTCTGCAGCCAGCTGGAGTAATCAGCCTAGCACGAGAGGTATAATAAAGTGGATCAGTCACAGTGCCTTTTAGAAATCCTTTACTGCTGATACCATCATATTCTGTATGTATCTGATGTTGATCCTTGGTCAGTGGATTGTAAAGCTTATTTCAGTTGTTCTTTGATCGTGCTATGATTTTAGCAAAATGCATACTTTTAGTGCAAATTCAACCAATATTATTTATAATGAACCTGAACCATGAACACTGGGGATTAAGTTTCAGACCCTAGTTAATGTATCCAGATTTAGGTCAAATATTATTTAAAACAAATTGTGTTTTAACAGTCTTTGATGAGCAGATGGACAGACTTTGTTACATAAAATATATGAGAGCAAATATTTTGTACAATAAATTAGGACTTTTAACTTGACACCATTCTCTTGATTCTTTAAATTCTTAGAGCCTTCCTGACATAATCTTAAAAAGCCAAGACTTTTTTGGAAACACTAATTGGCATATATCCAATCCTACCCTAAAGCTGGCTCTTACATTGGCATGATTTTTGTTACATTGTAGTATTTGTAGACACACACTATTAAAAACCATTTTGGATATAAATTATGTAGGCTTCTAAGGCTTGTGTGTGTGTGTGTGTGTGTGTGTGTGTGTCAAAATGAGTCTTCTTAGTTCTGTACCTCTATGCAGTAATTCCTGACAAACTGACTAACACCTAACCTAATGATGTTACAAGCTCTTGAGCCTTAAAAATGAACAAGTGGATGAAATGAACACAACTGTATGATAAATATCATGACGTAAAAAAGGAAACTTTGGCACATTATTCCTGCAGCAGGTGACAAGAGCACATATAAGCAGACTTACAGACAAGTGCTTTACAATTAGGTCCAAGCATTTTGCCCTAAGTGAAGCATTTTACATTCAATATTAAAGACAGAAAACAGCAGTCTGACAAACACCAACATTTAGACTGCTGGTTAAAGAACTGATTTACTTTTAGGTGGATTGTCAAATGATATACTTTACATATCAATTTACATATACATTGTATGTACGTCAATGGTTTGTTCATATATATAGTCAAACATAATGAAAAGTAAATCAAAATTTGATCTTTCAAAAAAAGGTGGCTGAATTACATTGACAATACACACAACGTTTACATTTAGCAGCAGTTACTAATGTGTACACCATCAAAATGTAAAAAAAAAAACACAAATAGGAAATTGCAAAATAACAAACAAATGTTGATTTCCTATAATTCTCTGTTGAGGCAAGAAGAACGAGTTCACTCAGGACAAACTCTGGTCATGGTAACATTCTGAAGCATTGTGGAAGAATAGTTTTTTGAGGTATTTGCCGAGGGCATTTTTAATGCTGCCGACTCAAGATGTCACTATGAGCAAAGCATACTGGCTAGGAACAGAAGCAACGTTTCAACATCCATCCTTAAACAAAAAGTACTAGTGGCTCTTGGATGTAAAAGTCTGCAGAAGGAAGGAGCTGCACATGTAAACAACAACACCAAGGCGCTAAAAGAAGCACAGAAGGTTCATGAAAAGGATGGACTCCATGGATGAAAGGCAGGTCAAGAGAAGATATGAGGATGAGGAGTGATTGTCAGTGGGAAGGGACTGATCATGCTGTTGGTTGGCTAGCAGAGAAGAATCCCTAGAGAGCTGGAGTTCATGGTCTGAAATCACACCAGCGTTTCAGGCAGCGTGTCGGCATTGTCTGAGGATAGCAGTTGCCAGATCTGCCACCGGTCCCTCTGCCATTCCTGCCACTCTGGGCTCTGTGGCACCATTTGAGCCTCTGTTGTTGAGGCTGAGTTAATCTGCGCTGCAGTCGGCCTCCCGCGCTGCACATGGGGTTGTTGACCTGTTGCGAGCTGAGGCGAACTTTGTGAAATAGCCAGTCGATGATGAGCGTTATAAGGGGGAGGAGAGCGGCCGTCGTTAGGCACAGCAGGGCTGCTGTCACCGGTGTTCACCCTGCCTGGAGATCTGGAGCTCAGGTTAACTCTGTGTCTACTTGTTCGCTGGAGGCCCTGCGTGCTGTTGTGGTGTGACGTCACAGAGGGGTTGATGTTTAGATGCAGGCGTGGTCGTCCCGTCCCAGCATGAGGGCTGGTGCACACTCTGGTGACTGGGGGGTGGGGTCTGCACTCTACGTTGCCGAGCGCTGTCTTAGTCCGTGGTAGACTCGCCTGCTGTCTGCTGTCACCATGGAGTCCATCGAGACCTTCCTGTGAGCTGCGGGAGCTTCCCTCTGACATGTTGCCATGGGAACCTAGAAACAGCACATCAACTCCATCAGTGAAATTAATTACTGTTTAATGAATAACACTAGTCGGTGCTGGTTATAATGTGTACAAAGAAAGGCCCCAACACATCCTTTGGGAGGTCTGTTGCATACTTTATGAAAACACAAGTAAAAACATAACATAGTGATTAATTTGTTGTTCATTTTATTTATGGAAGGTAAATTTAATTACAGCCTCATTTATGTAGAGTTTGCTGTTTTAAAGATATAATAATTTTTACACCTGTTCAGTTCTGTCTTACCAGCTAGTTAATTAGTTGAATGCCCCTGGCAGCACACGTGTAAACTAGCAGCTAATTAGATGACAAAAATTAATGACAAAACTAGAAGGAATCTAGTTTCTGATAATGAGCAGTGAAAACCACAGAGGAAAATGTGATTTCAAAGGCTTGCAGATTGGATCTTTGTGCGCGCCAGATGATTAATAACCAGCATCAGGTGCCAGGCACACACTTGCTCTGCTGCATTCAAGAACAAAATTAGCAGAGGTTTTAAACTGTTTACCTGTGTGTGTTTGGTCCTTATGTATTGGTTTCAGTGTAGTGTGCCATGTCCCCCAAATGTTAGCATGCTCCTCCGATATAGAGTCTGAAGGAAGCAAAAGAGAGGTCAAAGTCCTCTCCATACTCAGTTACACAGTAAACAAACAGACTTGCCTCTATGAAAATCAAAAGCCAAAAAATTGAAAAACTGGTTAATATTCAGACCCAAGAAAGCTGAGTATTATAAGCACTGTCCAGCTCACCTTTGGTAAGCCAAGTGTCAGCTCCAGGCTCTCTGCTCCAGCTAGCCACTTGCCCCACCACAGTGTAGTGCTCTGGGACACGAAAGAGCTGCTCGCTGCCTGGGCTCCCTGGTTCTCCTCTCCGCTCGCTGGGAACTGGAGAATTGTTGTCATATGGGGACACTTCCCCACTGGATGCCTTGTTGGAGTCGCTGGAGGAACGGCGCTCACTCAGGGTGAAGGGCTCCTCTGACTGCAACAGGTCAGGACTCCTGTGGAAAACAAACTGTGGATGAAAAAGAAGAAAAGAGACACAAAATCACCTGCTCTGTGTGTGAGTGTCTCACTGTGATGCTTTTCTCCTCAGAAGGTAGTCCACCACATCTGGATCAGTCTCCATCAGACTCATCAAAACCTCATTTTGCAGATCAGGAGGCACCTAGCACAACAACGTGAATGACATGAATAAGTAAATAACATTGTTTTCTATTTAGAGGCCTGTGCCTGTTATGTTGCCTACATATGTTAGATTATACCATTCAATATACTACTGTGTATTTGCTTGTATGAACATAAATTACATGGAGCTGACCATGTGACATTATAGTGTTCTTCACCATACCGTTCCATCTAATAAACAAGAAGCCTGCCTCAACATTAAGGTGCATGGATCTCATTTGTCTTGATTTCATTAAAAGATGGCACGTTTTGGCTTATTCCTTTTGAAAAACAGAAAGAAATAAGGTTTCTCCTGCTTGATCAAGGGCCCACTCTCAATGCAGTGGGATGACACAGTAAGAAAGCTGAAAGCCTGTTTGGTTGACTTCAGTTACAATGTTTTTTGTGAAGTGATCCTTAGATAATTGACTGAATTTTATTCTTGTCATACATATGGTGCACTGCCAAAACATGAATGAATGATTCAAGTCAAATTTACCAGATCTACTGTACAACCAATTCAGACATAAGAAGGTTATGAAACAACATTCAGATGCCATTCATAGAACTCGATCTGCCTACAAATATTTTTATACGCTGAGACTGAGCAAGTCAGTTCCACCTCATAATATGCAATTAATAGCTCTTCACTGGCTTACGACATCAATGCAACCCTCAGTGACAGTTTACACAATATTATGGTTTACGGTTTTGGATCTGAAATGATTGTCTGCACTGTTTGAACATCCCATGACAAGAAAAGCGCTAAAGCAACTGATGAGGCAGTAATTGTGCAAAATCAGGACCTATTCTGGCACCACATGAAGGATTTCATGCCTGAATTTTCTGCTTTTATTTTGGAAAGAACAAGTTCAAGTATTTGGAGTTCATGATGTTCATTGCCAGCTAACTACAAAGGTTTTACGTTCTCGTTGTATTTCTTATATTTATTCTCACATGAATTTAGGTGTGTCTGACCATTCATTCATCACTGATTAAGACACAGCCATCATCTGCTAAGCCATGGGGATTGGATACTTTAAATATACACTTGGATGTAAGAAGAAATGTGTACATGACTGAATGTGACTGTGTATTTAGTAGAGGGGCAGAAGAATGGAAGAAGGAAGTATGGTTGTATGTTAGAAACACACAAGCTCAAATACTGACCATGAAAAGGGTTTGGTAGCTGGCGATCATCCTCTGTAGCACAGCGATGACAGCCGTGCTCTCCTCAGCTCTGGCAGAGCTCTGGACGCTGAACTCCTTGTCTGAGCTCTTTTGCTTGTGGAGTAAGTTGGGGCCAAAGATGGTGGCCAGGTTCAAAGATGTCATCTTGTTCCCCGTGATCTGTAATTAGAATAAAATGACCCTTCTGATTTAAATTAAGTAAACAAAAATGAAGCTCCCTTAAAAACTGGAACGTGTCTTTCTATTTATGTTGAAAACACCTTCATGTGGCTTTCTTTTATACCTGTATGGACTTTGGATAAAGTGTCATTTTCAAACCTGCCTCCTATCAGGGAGTTGAGTCAAAAACACACAGTTGAATCCTTTAGCTGCTTTTAACACTAAAAGTGTTAAGAGTGTATGACAGCTGCCTCTGTGTCTGCTAGGATGGCGTCTATACTGTGATAAATTCATTTTTCTGGTTCTTTCCCAGTTTCCTCCTTTTCTGCTCCCAGTCCCAAAGGAGAGATGGGAGCTACAAGTAGCCAAAAGCATTGATGTGTTTTTCCAGACCGAATGTGAAAGGGTCCGACTTCCTGTCACACTCTCAGATACAGATACTAGAGCCATGAAGTCATGTAATTAAAAACACACACATCATTATTTGACTCCCATGTATACACAAAGAAACACCAAAACACACTTCCTTCTGTGCACACGAGCATGCCAAAACACTTTATGCTTCTCTTTCACACATACAGTACACTTTAACAACACACACACCCCCTTGCACAAAGTTGTGAGATTTATACCCACGCACATGCAGAGACACTAAAACAGAAACTTTCTCTTCTAACACATGCACATTCATGAGTCATGAGTTAGTGAAGATGGGCACTGTGATACA